GATACCCAGAATTAACGTAGACGTACCTACACTGTATGGCAAGTAATTATTTTAGCACGTGGTCTGTTTCGCACTGCTCTAGTCTATAATTACCAGACAAATTCAAAAACCCTGTGCACACAGCCATCATATAATAGTTCGGTTGGACAAAATAAGATGTCTGTAATTGAAGACTATTAACAACTACAGCCATAGGCTGAATTCTTCAAAGACGACCTAGCGTATTTCTTGTGTGGTGAATGCTATCAGAGGACACAGAAAGGCTGGTTAAATTGGGTTCATAGTAAATAAAACATCATTCCCTTCGAAGAGATGCATTAAATTTAGGATTTATTGTACTAACAGACAGAGAAGACCATTTATTCACAACCCAATTCACATGTACAGTGCTGATTTTAATAGATACACTAACTCTTGTCAATAATTTTATATATGTATTATTTATGTCCGTCGATTATTTTGTCTATACTAGTGATTTTTTAATCATTTTTGTATCAGGAGACGAATTTTACTTTTTCGTTACAACGTGACAATAAAAGAATCTGGTACTGTTGCTTTACTTTTCTTTTGTTTTCTACATCATTATGCACCGATCTGCTTTACATGCGCCCAATTAAAATCGATAACAACAATAGTGCAACAAGTCGTGCACCGAATCTGACATCAGTCACACCCTACTGTAGCCCGTTGTTCTGGTGACGCCCAACACTTTAATACTTCTTGTATACCATATACAGTAATGGGAAAAAAAAACTAGTGAAGCACAGTGGTGGATCAGTATTGCGTATCTCGCAATTCTCATTATAGTTCAATCGAAAATTATATTTTATTACATAATCATGAATACAGTCATAATACACCACATTGTTTCGATTATTTTATATGACTATTATTATTCACCAGAGACAGCTGTATTGGTATGCGCCTTATAAATCCATTGATTGATATTCTTAAAAATCTTTAATTAACACCAACGAAAATTTAGGAACATAACAAAATAGAGTAGGCCTAAGAGTGCTGTCAATCACTTTAAATAGGCCTAATTGAGATATCATAAGCATTGGGACTTTAACATTAACATAACATTGCCGTAAATGATCAAGACATGAGTTTTTTCATGGAAGAATAATAATCTGAATTCATATAACATGTATTAATACCGATATATTGTTATAATTAAATACACACAATATAACAAATAATACCCGACATATATTTTCAACTGCTGAAATGACCAAACATTACAATTATTATAGGACTTGTTACTTTTTTCACAAATTTGCATCAACTCAAGAACTTCGATGAATCCAATCGATTTGGTGAACTATGAACTCGTCGTAGCACATGTTTTCATCATGACACCACGGCGGCAGCATGGATTCTTACTGCACCGACTGTCTCTGCATAAAAATACCTAATATATTACACTAGGGCCTAGCCAGGGCCCAACTGTACCTGGAGTATAATTTATCATAACATAATATACTGCAGTAACACTGTACTTTATTATAAATTGAGAATGTGAGAAAATGTGAGTACTTCTGTAATATTAAATAAATCGTCAACTGCCGAGCCAGAAATCGACTGCATCTGTATGCTAGGCTACTATCATTTTGATTGTATTGATCGTCAGTCAGCGGAGGAAAATGACATTTTCAAATGATGTATGACTCAAAAACAAAAGTAACTGACGGAATTATAGGTTTCCCTGTTACAACAACGACACATATGTACGCATCCATTGTGTACTACAGGGCTTGAATAGGGATTGTTAATTTGACGTGATCGACATTGATAAACAATTTCGGGTAGACGCGAGTGCGTCTAAATAACAATGTTAAGACGGTGTAGGCCTTGAACGGACGCGTCATGGACGCAAACAGGACGAAAACTGGATGCGTCTGTTGCGTCTAAAAATTTGCATTTTTTATGGACGGTACTGTATGTGCAGTAATGTATGTGTGACTATGTAATACCCCCTATAATTAGGTGTACTGTCATTTAGGGCCATTTTTACTAGGCCTTTTTTCTGGGGCAATTTTTCCAAGGCATTTTTCCGGGGCCCATTTTTCTGTACAATATTAATTTTCTGTTTGAAAAGTGTGTAAAATAAGAACAAATTAAGAACATTTTGAGCCTAAAACCGGCCAAAAAATAAAAACACCTGGGCAAAATTTTACTGGTTCTTATAAAAAAAAAGTATATTATGAAGCCTTGCATTTTAAAGCAAGACCGTAATAATTTAATATTGTAGTTAGTAGTAGCACCAAGCTGTAAATCCATTCCACTTAATCATATTTACACATTTAGAGATAAACAGTTAACAAATTTAAATAGATAAATTATTAATAAATAGATTTTAATATTCTCTTTAACATTCAAATAGAAAAGGATACAATTTATTTCAAAAATTTAAGTTTCTGGGAACTGAAACGTCTTTTTCCTTTTATATAATTTTCCTCAACAAATTTGAAAATTCTCTTTAATTATTCAGTGCAAACATACTTATGTAAATCCCTAAATTAAAGCACATGAAAGCCTTACAGTATAATAACTTGAAGAAAGTTATTCAACGGGAAACATAATATTTATAGGAAGCCTTGAAACAATAACTGCTGATAATTTTTTTCTCTCTGACCTTCGTAAGTCAGGATGTTAACTAAATTTAAATCTATTTCTTTTGTGGCTTACTTCATATAAATAATATCCGTTCGTAGACTTTAGAGATTAGAATAATAGGTATGCACATAGATAAACCATCTAAAATACTTCTGTATGAAAATGTCAACATCAGATCAAATCTACAATTTTTTTCTTAAGCATTAAAATTAATAATTAATAACAAAAATTTAAATTAAAATTAAGAAATCCAAGTAACCTGACTCCATTGATGCAAATCTTTTAATGTTTCCATAATTTCTGGGATGCATTTCGGAGTGTTCTTTTTCATTCACTAATTGAATATATGTTTCACGTTTTAGTTGATAATGTTCATAGTTTTATCTATTTTTGTACATGCATGGAATGAATACAATTTATAAACTCATAAAGTTAATGATTAAAGTAAAAAAAAGAAGTACGATTTCACAAATTTGAAATATATGACAGTGACAAAGACCAAATAAAGTTTGTCATTATGAAAGTTGTGAACTATTTGACACAAAATCACTTTTAAGAGCATATTTTAAATGTCAAGTAGTTTGTGGAATTGCGCTTAAGACTTGAACAAGAATTGTTGCAAACTTGTAGGCAATTGACCTACTATTCTACAGTATTACCATATGTCATAATTAGATGATTCATTTAGTTTTGCTTTAGAACTACAATAGAAATAATTAAAATATCAAAAATTCAAATACAATTAAATTTTCTTCCCACTTTCTTTTTACTGTCAGATTGTAAATTGAACTATAATTTTCAAAAGAAAGACAGACGTTTCTTTAGACACTGCCTATTCTCTCTAAAAATGCTGATTATGTATATTTGTATGTGATGTTATGTAAAAGGAAAAAAAATTAAATTATTAATTAATGGGTAGCTGACACATATGGGTTATAGCAATGTACTTTGCTTAAGCTATACCTGACTTTAGACTTTATTTTTCTTTTACATATTTTATATTGTTATTGTCAATGTGATTGTAAATACATTTCTGAAGTGGCATTAAATAGGTCTTCCCTACACATTGGCAACTAAGGCCTCCCATATTAAAAGCCCTTCAATCACAAAACTAACTTGGCCCTCCATACCTATTAGGGCCTTAAATAATATGGACATAAGCAGGGCCCTCCATACAATCTATATTCTAATATAGGTCAGATAGGAACTTTTCCTAGCAAATTATTAACATGAAAAATAGATGATTACTATATTAACTGCTCTAGCAATACCAAAATAACCCTTGAAATTTATCTTAAAATAAATTCAAACATTTTTAAACAGTTGTTTTCTGTATTATTCAGTCATATCCATAGGTCATATAAGGTGAAAAGTTCTGATACAGATAATTAAAGACCCATTCTCCTACATGATTTGCTTCATAAAGAAAACAAAATTTAAGAATAATTGCATTTAATGACAGAAGTGCATTAAACAAGAATATTTCAACTGAGAATAATTTACAACTTTTTAACTGTCCCATATTTTGTGATATACAGTAATACTAAACTGATAATTATGAACAAAAAGCCTACATTTGGTATATAGCAGTTAGGTACAATAGGCGTGCTGTATGTTCTGGTATTACAATACAAAAAAGGAATTGTTATTTATACCACTTGCTCTAACTATTATGACCAATTCTAAGAGATTAAAATAATTAAACGCATGAGAAATCTAACAAAAAAGAGCCCAACCGGTGTGGTCCATAATAGTTCTTTTTTTGTATACCACAATCATTCGCATTAATGGCAATAAGTTTCTACCAATGGTATCAGATTTTATTACTATTCCACAATAAGCTAACCTCAAAAAGTGAAATTATATGGCTCAGTTGGTTTAACCCTTTCACCGACGTCCTTTTAAACATGGATTGGTACAAAACACTGCTGAATAGTTATTTCATTATATTTATAGACACTAAACTGTTAACACAATAAAACAGAGCCGTATCAATTGGTAGGAGTAGAGATTACTGTTCTTACAGAGCCAATCTTTCAGGTGATTTACAAATAGTAACCGCACAAGGATTTACTGTTCATACTGTTGTTAATTTTAGTAATAGCACCTTTCCTGTTCATCAAATGGAACATATTTCTAATAAATCTTATGTTAACTTACACAACTTAGAAAATAGACAATTGTGCAGTCAAATCATCCTTGATTCAGAATATAAAAATAAAATCAAACATGACCCAATCCATTTTACAGCAAACAAAAGCTGCCAATTACAGAAAATTAAAACAATAAACAAACATAAAATAGTACAAAGTATGTGAATGTAACAAGAACTGGCAGGCCTGACAAGAGGAAAAAATCCCAATACTGGTATTTCATATTTGGGAATTAATGGTGACTAAAATAAAATATGGGTGGGGAGAAAGGGGGGGGAGGGGGAGGGAGTGCTAAATATGGCAACACAAACAATAATTAATTATTCTTGAGTCACTCTTGAAGATTTTGTTGAACCTAAAGGACATACACTTTACAGTAGTATTCTCTTGGTAACTCTGTATAGGTTATCAAATATAAGAAAATTAAGTATATTTGTTATTATTATTTATGTTTATAGCAATCATCAGTGTAGGTAATAAAAGATCATTAAAGATATTTCATGATAAATCACAGTTTATCACCTTTTATCTCCTATTTACAATGTAATGAATGGAACAAATAAAGAAAACTATAAGTAAATTTTGTTTTCTTGTTCATTATACACTTACCGCACTGAAGTCTAATAGATCGCTTAGCTCCTTGTCCGATACCATCGGAACCCTCCCGTTCGGACTCTGCATCATATCCTAAAGTGGAAAAAATATTCAAAACGTATACCATGAACAAAGGAAAGACTTCAAATTTTGTTACTTTTATTTTTATTTTTCAACGTGAATCTTGAATCTTCTTTAAAAAATCTAATAAAATGTCACTGATCAAATTCGATATTAAAAATGTAAATATTTGTGAATATCACTTTGTATTTAATGAAAAATCTAAATGAAAAATTATGCACAGGCTTGTGATACATTACAAATTAATTATAAACCCAGGAAAATCTTATTGGTCTACAACTATATTTTTTTTTTAATTGAGAATAAAAATCTTAGATGGCCACTTAATGAATGCAGTGCTACTTTGTTGAGAGATTGATCTCTGCAATAAGTGTACAGTTAGTATCAACTCCTTGTTTATCTACCATATATGAAATATTTAGCACATGAGTCAGTAATGAACAGAGTCCAGCCTAGTCTATAACCTTAGGTACCTTCTATAATCTTGTAGAGTATCTAGTAAAGCACTAGAAAGTGAAGTAGGTGCCAGCCAGAGGATTGGCTTTTGTGCCTGCTAATGTAGATTAGAAGAGCTGTGAAACAATCATGTTTCAGTGGTGCACTAACTCTAATTATTAAATGTAAACGCAGAGTTTTACTAGAAGAATGGGACTAGATGGTGGAGGTGCTAATTAAAGAGTAAATGAAATCCCACACGTATTCACTACCTGGCATATACCTGCCTTGCCATGTCAGGCAGTCCTGAATAAAAATTCACATATTTTTTTAAAACCAGGTAATTCCTATCGTCAACCTCTGAATAATCAGCATGTAACTGACATGGAGTACCAGCTATGTGCATACGTAAATAATTCTACCAGGTCCAGCTTGGGGTCTCAAGATTAATATTTGTCACCCACTGATTACTGTAGGAGCCTGCCAGTATGAATGTCCTACTGTACTTGCCTGTCCAAAGTACAGATCCATTGATATCAAGTACATTTTATCTTCTAATATACTTGGAAAATTGACTAAATGCAAATAAAACAATAAATCCTTTTAGGAGCTTTTAGGACCCCAAGTTTCTGCAGCGTGAAGCTGGTGATAGTGTGATACAGTACTCCCCCTGTTAATTAAAGATTATTTATGAAAAAAGTACGTAAGAAATAACAGAGTCCTTTCGGAGGTGGGATTTAAAAGAAAGAGAAAAATTATGGTTGTAATTATTCATTCAAAACATTAAAAAAAACTTTTCTAGCATGAACGCTAGTTCCTAGAGACTAATCACATCTATTTTTCTACGAGTATTCTTAATGTGGTTTTTATAATTAAATGCCTTAAGGCTTTACTGCTTGAAACTTAGCAGGAGATGGGAACTTGTAGAATACAACAACGTATGGCAAAACCGTCAATACAGCTCACACAGTGCACAGTAGGAAAGTTCATATCAAACATATTTTCTGTTTTATATATTTTACCTACACACAGTGGCCCTGATAAACCACACTAAATGCTGTGGTGAGCCAATTCAGCACATCAACAATACCTAAAAGATCGTTGAAGACGGATCTTCCACTGTAATTTTGGACTTTCAGTAACGATCGAAGAAACTTTGCCAAAACATTTATTGATCAACTCAATAAATAACTAATAATTAATCAGTAATTTATGAGTCAATTTTTTGTAGATCATTGATCAAGTACTAGAATGTTTTTTAACTACACAAATAAATTATATAGTAATCAACAGCTTCATAACCAGAAATATGATTTTAATATTAAATGTAGTGTTGTACAGTATCTGTTTTGTCAAGCCATAACATTTCACTTCAATTCAGACAGATCTAATTCACACTCAGCAGTTATCCCGAAGCTATGGTTAATTTCAGCCCCCATAGTTGTGAAATGATCATCATGGCTTTGAAACTAGTCGTGGAGCATGGACCACGCCCATATGCGATTCAGCAAAATGACGCAGCCAGTTATGGGTCATTCTCCTTTCATTACTTTTACTTAAAAAGGATGACTTAGCCTTAAAGTGTAAAGATGAACACAATTGTATACTACTGGCACAGAGTCACCTCCAGATCTGACCCTTCATGAAACTGACCAGTAAATATGAAGAGTGGTTCTTTAAATTTCTGATGTTCACCGGTATATATCTCATCATTCACTTGAAGTGAATCGGGTTACAAGGGCCACCGAGCATTACCTCAAATCGTTAAGTATAAACATACGATATGAACAAGAACATGACAGGCACATGTCTTCCCAGACTCCACTCATAAGTTTAGTCTTAGTTGATTACTGTAATGCTTACTAAAGCATTAATATGAAAAACAACTTGTTCACAATAATAATTGTAAAAAAACATATATTATAATAACTATTATAATATAATTCACTCAACAGAATGCAGTTGGTGAGCACATTATGGTATAATTGGAAATTAATTTTATTAGTGTGCAATATAGCATTAGTATTAAATTAATACTATTTTGTTTAATTAAATTATTATTGTTATTATTATATTACCATAATTATAGAATTAATCAATCTAATAAAATACAAAGTGTATGTTTTACAAGCTACGGTACAGTACAACTGAAATTTATCCTTCTGGTTAGAGTTAAAGTGCGCCCTCACTAATCATAACAAGAATACTGAGTATAAGAAACAGGCATACTCATCGATGTATTTAAATAGAGTGCTATCTAGGCGACGAAGCAATGCAGAGTTGCGTAAGTGTACTCAACAAGATGGCTGCCTTAGAAAACGCCACCTTAAGGCTTAGTATACATACTACAACCATAAATAAGACCTCTGACTAATTAATATTTCATTAATCATTATAAATTATTAATCTAACCTACTGTAGCAAAGAATAGGCCAAGTTAAATATCACATTTAAAAATAAAAGTAATTTGTATTGAGGAATGAAAATCAAAACTGTGTTCGCTACACCGCGACGATCGAGATTAACATACAGGTAACTTAGTTGTACTCAAAACTTTCATGTTAAATTGAGGGCGCCATTGAAAATGATTCTTAGGCGTATTTTGATTGGCTGAATCTACGGCAGCCATCTTGTTGAGTACCAATACAATTATTTGTAGTACGATTGTAGTTGTAGTAGTACTGTACTGTAGCAAAGAGTATAAATAGAACGAGAGCGTACTCCCGTTTGTAAAAACATCACGCCTGAGTAGGACGCCCACTTACGGTTGTGTGCACATTTTATTACCCAGTGCAGAGCGATAGAAGTACAACCGCTATGGACTCAGTAAGTAGAAAACAAAAGTACTGTATCTTGTGAAGAACAGATAAACAGACAAACTGACCGTGCGCGGTGGAGTACTGGGTAATAATAAAAAGTGCACACAAGCGTTAGTTGGCGTCCTCCACCAGCTGCATATGGCGTATCGTTTTTCACGCTCTCAATGAACATAGTTGGCTCTCTTGTTCTATTTATACTCTTTGACTGTAGTAATTACCAACCAAACTTACCTTCATTCAATGTTGGACTTTCCACTATAGAAAATAATCTGAAATCAAAAAATAAATACGCTTGTAATGCATCTTCCTTTTTATCACAACAAAAAAAATTGAATGAAAACAAAATACAGTAAACAAATTCTTAATGACAATAATTTAGAAGTTACTGTAACAACATCCTTAAAATACAAATAAAATGAACATTACCATACGAGGCTTGCCATCCCAAAACCAGCGTACTGTCACTAATTGTTAAAATGAGTAATTAGAATAAGAATATGGCACTCTTGGTTACAGAGAAGCTGTAGTAGTTTTACTCATAACATTGGCAATAATAAGTTGATATGACCATCTTTTTAAAGGCCTGTTTATACTTCAACGATAAAAAAAAGCTAAAAAGCATTTGTTCATATAGAAAATAAAATAAGAAGTTTTTACACTAGGACGATTCGATAACGATTTATCGTGTATACGATAACAAAATATTTTAACAAATCAAATCAGATGACGTCATAATGATGGAAAAACGATAAAATCATTGCTACTACTACAATTTTATGATTCTTTCTTTAGTTTTCTATAGAACAATCACTTTTTAGCTTTTTTATCGTTATAGTTATTGTTGAAGTATAAACAGGCCTTAAGCTTATAATGTGGAAAATAAATGTATATTAAAAAAACAACTTTCATTTGTTGATCACTGATACTGGTTTTTGGATGGCAAGGCTCATATCTTCTGCACCAACATAGCCATGAGGTCATCCTTCTCTACTACCTACGCTATGATAAAGCCAAGTAGGCTATAAACCTATGATTGTCATGATACGGACACAATTTTGTCAAGTGTGTGTATTAAAGATTCAAGATTTAGTTTTTGTCTAAGAAAGAAATTCACAATTGATAAATCATGTGAAGTTGTATTTAAAATTGTTCTCAACTAGTAGTTTCAATTATGTACATAAGGTTATCAAAACAAATACCTAGTCTTATTATAACTATCAAAACCTACTACTGTACTTTATTTTATCTTCTATTATTTTGGAAACACGCTGATATACGTTGAAAAATCATTTGAGTTAAACTGAATAAAAATAATAGATTAAATTGCCAATTAAACATAGGATATTTTACAAAATGTTTGATAGAAAAATTAGAATGCATTTAGTATCAGCCTCCATTATTGACAAATTATAATTGTACGTTACAAGCCAAGTTGGCTTGGTGGTTTAATCAACATAAAAATAGTTACTCAGCCTTAAATGGGTAATTAATGCCTCGAATTGTTCTGTGATTGAAAGAAATGGTAATTAAACTACAAATGGTATTAAATTTAACAATTGGGGCTTAGCCCAGTTGTTTGCAAGCTACTACAAGTGAAATAGGGCCTACCATACCTAATTTACATATCAAAGGAATTGTTTTAATTACCAAAGAAACTCATCAGCTTCCTAAAGCAGAATACTAGAGTGAACACTTAAAATCAAGTATAAAAAAAGCTAAAATATCGAATATTAATTACAAGAAATAAGAAATATACCCTACTATTATGTTTACCACTTAATTTTGGTTGGCAATTTTTATAGTACCTTGTTTAGCGAACCCACCAACTGCAAATACTGATGATTCCGAATAAAAATAAAATGTTATTTCTTGCCAATTAGCCCACCCGCCACCACCAAAAATTGGAAATTTCAGAAAAAAATTAAAGTTTTTCCTTATTTTTATTATGCCGTCCTCTGCCTTGTAATCTCCAAAGCTATGTAATCTCTTCGTATTTTACATTCACCAATAAAATTATATTTTTATTTTCTCTTCCATCTTCATGTTTTTGACAAAACTATTTGCTAAAAATGAAAACAAAATTTTTCCGCCCTCCTCAGATGATCTTTAAAAAAATAAGTATGCGAAACAAGGAATTAAAAAAGTCTCGCCTTATTATAAAGATGGACAATTTATTATTTGATTAACAAAAAGTTTTTTCAGTTTGCATTTAATTTTTAAGGTCTTTTATTTGTTGTTCTCCCTAGGCCATTAAGAAAATAATATAGGACTACAAGCTAACAAATCATAACATTTCAGTTAAAATGAAGAGAAATTGCCAATCCACCTGGAGTGAGGCTATAAGGCCTAAATCAAGTACAGTACTGTACCAAAGATAATTTGCACTCACAACCATAAATCTCAAATCCAATAACAAACTGGATCTGTGAGATAGAAACATTATCTCTACGCCTGTTTTCACGAACTTGGAAATCAAGATTGGAGCTTATTCCTAAAAATACACTAGGCCTAGCTCAACAAGTACTTAAACACGTTTTCTTTAACCTGTTCACATTATAAAGGGTGCAAGCAAGGGAAATTATGCTATATATACTGTACATCGAATGGCGAACATCTGAACAACCGCACGATCTATCAATACAGTTTTTCTAACCTAATTAATCAACACCAACCAATGCTTGCTCACATTTGGCTCCGACGTTGATTCCGGATTATCACAACTTGTTTGGTAATGTAATCACAGAACTTAAATTCAGGCAATGTATTTAAACATCATTAGGTTAACATTAAAATGACGAAGTATGATTTCGTGCTTTAGCCTATAACGAATGCTAGGCCCACGATAATACAGTAAATCTGAGCAAAGATGACCAGTCGTGCTCTCGTTTAGTCCTCCGACTAAGCACTTGGTTGGTTGGTTGGACACTTTCTAAACAATGCCGACACAATACCCACCTATTTGATTTAAATTTTCAGTCAAAAAATTACACACTTTCCAAAGTGATACAAAAAAACATATTTAAATCCAATAAATTCCTGCCAAAATGGTGTATTGTTTGTTGGAGACACGTAAAACTAGAATATCTGAGTATCTCTGCCTCTCGCTGTCCTAGAATATCGCACACACGGTAGACATGTTTCTACACACCACTCACTGCTTTGTTGTGGTTGATCCGAAGAACTACGCGGGGTCAGGGGGTAAGTGATTTGAGAAAAAATAGTTCTTATATCTTTCACAATATGTTTTTAAAATTGGTCAGTCTTATTATGAAGAAGCACATATCTATTGAACAATTAAATGAAACTAAAATAAATTATTTGAAATGGCTGCAATGTAAATATGCATATAAATAATAACCTCAGTTTGATATATCAATGCGCTAAGCATGGAAGTGTAACGCTTTAAGTACGGTATGTGCGAACTGCGAGTAGTAATTGATGGTACTGAACGTATGCGTGCTGTGTAGGCCTACAGGAGCTTTCTTAAAATTAATTAAAATTAAATCATACAGTATTTAATAAATAATAATGTAACAGAATAATTTATAATTTGCAGACCTGAAATTGTAAATATAAAGAATAAATAGTAATAGGCCCTAGGTCTACCTTGAAATACGACTGCAAACAATAATGTATACTGTATTTTGTTTATGACATGCACTGCTGTCTCTAAATCCATCGAAATAAATTTGTTCATAGTTTTACTGTTACGTACTTTTGATTGTGTACTAACATTTTGAATCCGACGTTTAAAACATTCGGGCTCCGGAGAATAAAATGTTTTGAATGTTGTACAACTGATTTTTCTAAGATATAACAAGTATAGGCCAATTTTGATTAAAACAAAACAAAAAACAAACAAAAAGATAAACAAAACAAAACAAACACACTTGGGAACTGTTAATGAGATACAGATTTTTTAATATTTAAAAACTGGGGGAAAGGGGGTGGTTACGCTTCCTTTCCCCAGTTTTTAAATATACAAAAATCTGTATCTCCTCAACTGTTATCATTAACCGAATTTTTCGTTAAATACCAGTATGCAAATAATAATAATAATAATAATAATAATAATAATAATAATAATAATAATAATAATAATAATAATAATAGTAATAATAATAATAATAAAGATAATACTTATAATTATAATAATAAATAAATAATAATTAAAATAATAATAATGATAATAGTATTAACAACAATAACAATACACAAGAACAACAACAAAACAGTAGTGCGATCCGTGTTTGAAATAGGCCATACATAAATTTCAAATAAATAAACAAGTATGGTTTACTGTAGGCGTTTTCCAAAGGTTATGAATAAGTAAGTTTTGTTTCATTATATTTTTAAGAACTATCAGTCATAAGATTTGTCCTATTGAAAATTTAATTAATGGTACACGCTGTATTTAAACAACATAGTACCAAGTACCTAATTTCACTTAACTAAATCGTATCTCAGATAATAATGAACTTTATCTTTGCTTCCTGATTATTATCTTAAATTTGACAGTAAATTATTGAAAATATTGTGGTAATAAAATTAACACCGGGGCCCTACTTGCGTTCTAATAAGTAAATAAGCAAATCTGATAGGCCTATGCCTAAATTAAAACATTTAACGTATATTTCTGAGATATTGGTGTCTGTTCATCCATTAACCGGGTGGTATACGGTACCGCCAGACGTGTCGGTTGTTATCCATACCACATTACTATGATTACAGGATCTATGATCACTATAGGCAACTAGTATTGTGTATGTACATCCCCTTAACCAGATATTTTCTGTCAAATTTATATATACAATATGAAAATAATTATGAACAGAGTGCAATGCTATAACGTAAAACCTCGAATTGAAGCCCTGGGCTTCTTGGCGAACTTTCGGATGGGCTTCTTTTCGAGGTTACTTTTGCAAAGTAAAGAGGGGGTTTCTTTTCCAAAATGAATGCTGTAAATTTTCGGAATCAGTACTATAAAACAATAAATAGGGTCACTGTAACATCAATCTGTATCTTGGAGTGTATAACCGGCATTAAATCACCTAAAACTTATTTTGTTTCTTTGAAATTCATGTATTGTATGTACTGTACTATCTCGAAAAGAAGTCTATGCTATCTTGAGGCTAATTTTGCAAACTAGAAGAGGCTGCTTCAATTGGAGACGGTATTATATTTAAAGGACGCCCTCTCTACTAATTGACAGTCAGTAATACAAGTTTTAGTACTGTTTGTTTAGGTCAGTTGATTGGTAAAACGATAAATCAGCCGGCCGGTCGGATAAACCGACCGACCAACCTACCAATCATCAAATCAATCAATCAATCAACTAACAGACATATTGATTTAAATCAATCTATCTATCAACTGAGATCGATTCAATAAGTCAGTCCAATCAAACAATTTCTAGTTCAATTTATTCAAAATCCGAAGTAAATTAAATAATACAAACATTTCACATCAAATTTTTAGTTACAAAACAAAAATGTAATCAATATCAATCAATCAATGAATATAGATCAATCAATCAGTCGTTATATCATCAACAAATTACATCGATAGCTCATGTGGCGCATCAAGAAATTCGAAATAGAGGGCCCCACCTAACAATATTACGTTATAATAACGTCACAGTTTGGTGATAGAAACGTTATTTTGTAGAACCATGTACGTATACTTATAACCTAATTTCACAACGTCACAACGTTTGAACGTGTTTACAATGTTGTGTGAACGTTATTATGTGACATACCTGACCACAACGTTCGCGAACTTTATAAGAACGTTTTGTGTTTGCTGGGTGGTGGGGGAACTTTCACAGATGGAGGGTCTAGACCACATTAGTCCCACCATATTTGGGGCTGAGGTAATAACATTAATGATTATGGCACCTCTAGATCGCCAATATGGCACCCCCAGACTTAGATTTTAACATAATTTTCGTTTTCTTCATTTAATGGCAAAAAAAAAAGAAGTTGACAAATTTGGGGGCTTGGTCCGGCTTCCCCCTCCCTAAATCCTCCACTGAGTAGAAAAAAAACACAGTATTTACTTTTTATGAATTGCTAGCGCTAAAAGCTTGGGGCGGGTGGGGGTTTATCTTTTCCTACAATAAGCTTAATAATGGTAACCAACTCTAATAGTAAATAGTAACAGGGTTATATATTAGAAGTTTTACGGTAACTACATCGAACTCATACTCTGTTCCTGTAATTTCCCTACCAGAAATTCTGAAATCAGAATACCGCTCGCGCAATGAAATATAAAATAATATAATATAATATATTATAACATTATAGGTTATAGTCCGCTTCTTTATACAATTTCACTGAGTAAAACATGAAAGTAATATTGCGTAAACCTATAAGCATTAAGCTTTCAATGAATGTATTGTGCTTGATACATATATGAACATATGTGTTGTGTTGGATTTTTTATGTTTTAGTATTTCAACGTTTTTTGTATCTGATGTTTTGAATAATAGTGATGCACTTTTTATTGTATATAATTTGAATTTATTTTATATGCAAGGTTTTAAATTTTATCGAGCATTCAATTTCTTCATTTGGAGATGATAAAGGTATTCTGATTCTGATTCTGATCTGATTCGGAGAATCATTTAAGAGTGAGAACAATGGCATAATGCATAATGCTACGGCTAATTTACCAATCCGATATTGTTTGTGTTACACTATTATCGGCTAATTTATTTACGTTAATGTTTTCAACCGCTTATGAATTTATGTTTTTCGTTTGGTTATTAATAGGTGTACGTTTTTAATACAGTTAAAGCATTATGTAGAGCTTGGTATACACATCCCCCTACCGGTTATGACTACGGAGGTCACGCTAATTATACCACCCCCACCACACACAAGATCAGGCAGTAGTCAAAACTACTTTGATTGATCATGCCATCTGATTGACCTGGCAGAGTGGGCCCCTATAGTGATTGTGCTGGAAACTCTGTCCAGTTCTGGCTAAAAGTATCTACCAAATGAAGTGTTTGGATACGAAAAGTAGAAGTCTACTTAAAACCGGTTTATACTTTATTGTGCCTCCACCACCAATGATACGCGAAGGGCGCAGACACAAGTTTTACCAGTCATTTTTACTAGACCAGACCCGTAGCGTGTGTGGGAATTAAGGGGGTTACGACGAACCGCCCAAAAACTGGAGAAGGTCCACATTCAAACACGAAAAATTGATATTCGTTGATTTACAATGTTCAGAGTATCGGAAATAAGGGTCCAATTTCCATTGAAACGAGCCTCCCACAAATTAAGTCACGCTACGGGCCTGTAGTAGACTACTGTAACTTCATTGTTATATTTCTTTTAGGCCTAATAGTTGGCAGACTACGCCTAACAACAGCAAAAGCTAAACAAACCACACTCCAGATTTCATTATGCAGTCTATGAATATATAAAAACGGCAAGTGAACCCGTTCTTTGGCCTTTAAAACGAGGCCCTGGAGAACCAAGATGACACTTTCCATGAACACACGGTATTTGCCAGTTAACGTATTAATGTACATTTACAATCTTAATAATGTACATATACAATCTTAATAATGTATATATACAATCTTAATAACGCATACCCTCTTTAATTATACCTATTAAATTTTATCCGCCACAAAATAGAACAGATTTGCATATATGTCGTAGCGATTTCTTTGACAGTTGAAGTAGATATGTAACCTTAAGCCTAAACTTTTTAGAAAAGATTGAATTGAATTGAATACTTTCCAATACAGACTAAACTTTTGAGGGCGCTACTGCACAAAATTGCCTTGTTCTCAAACTTTATTCAGGTGGGGCACATTAATATCAGATCCGAAATTTTGAACTAAAATACAACTTACATGATGTAACACTTAATATCATTTTAAATCAATAAGATTTTTTTTGAAAAATAAAAAAACAAAAAACAAAACAAAACAAAACCCCCGAAACACCCAGAGTGGTGTTATCTCGATCGGCCCCACTTTTCGGTCGGTCGATCCACCCCTGTAAGTAGTCTACTCCGTTTCCTGCTTTATTTCTATATTACATTGTATATAGGTACACAC